GACCGTGGCGGTGGCTTTTGCGCGACGCACGGCGGTGGCAAGCGCTGCGCCGAGCCCGGGTGCATGAAGCCGTGCCGCCGACAGGGCCTCTGCTCGGCGCACTTTCGTGTGCACTCGGAGTAGTCGTGTCCCGAGGTTTTCCATTGAAGTGGCGCGGCCCTGCGTCGTCGCCGATGTATATTGTGCACATTTTTTATTGACGGCCGTCCGTCCTTGTACGAAGAGTGTATCTAAGAAACACGACTGGATGCATGCATGTTACTCTCGCGTCGCGTCTCGGCTTGGCTCTACGAGTGCCGGCAGGTCGTCGGTCTCTGCGATCGTGGCGACGCCCTACGACGCTCGAGGTGGTTTTGGTTGAAGCACAGCATTTTGTACCGGGTCCCGAACAAATGGGTTGTGGGCGCGCTCTTTCTGAAAGTCAAACGACATGGTCAAGTCGTACACCGGCGGTTTGCGCGCGGGTGTCGGCTTCTTTGCCGCGTTTTGCGTGCCCCGGTGCATCGACGGCGGAAACGACCGCATCTCGCTCAGCGTCGCCGCGTACTCTTCGTCGAGATGACAGTAGTCGCTGTACGAGTGCGACGCTGCCGATCCGGCTGGCGACGTCTCGGCCGGTTGCACGCGCTTTGGGATCGGCATGGGCGCTGCAAAGTACGTTTCGTGCACGTCGTTGAACGGGTTGCAGTGGTTGTCGTCGTCAGCACTGTCGTCGACGTCGTTCCTTGACAGCGGCGCGGGCGGCGACATTAGCGTCGGCGGCGGCGTCTCGGCAATGACCTTTGTTGGTGGCGGCTGGTCCCGCGGCGACGCTGTCGTCGAGTTGGGCTTGGACTTGTTGAGCGAATCCTTGAAGAGTGCGTCGTCTTGGAGCACAATCGAGTTGGTAATGCCGTGTACGTAGAGGCTCAAGTCATCTTCGGCGCCTTTGGCACCGATTTCGCCCGTGAGCATGTATTCCATGAGCAAGCTACGAGCGGCAGACGGCAGGAATGTGTGAAAATGTGCTGTGGTTGGTGCTGCTACTACCTGTTGGCGAGAATCACCAGCTCGGTAATCTGCCCCAAGCGCTTCTCCATCTTTGTATTCCAGTCTTCCATGCCAATGAGCCATCGACCTACGTCCCAGTGATTAGTGCAGGAGGCAGTACATTGATCAACCTGCATCCGCCACGTAGGCGACGCTGGACCTAGGTGCAACATGTCATCGCACTCCTGTACCATGTCGATTGAAACAGCACGCGTACTGGAGCTCGTCGCGGATCGCCTCGCGGTACTCGTAGCACCTTCGGATGAGCTTCTTGGCTGCGTAGTTGACCTCTACGGAAGCCACAGTCTCAGCTGCATGCACGCAACCGTATGCGTCGTACCGTCGGGTAGCTTGTCGTGCATGCGCTGGAAGAAGCCTTCGTAGTAAATGACCTGCGACGCCCATGAGCATAGGCGGGCACGCTGCCATGAACCTTCTTCATGAAGCTCGTGACGTTGGACTCGAGGCAGATGATCCCGCCCGCGACCGTCGACACGCTCTTCGAGATGCTCGCGACCGTCTGCGTGTGGCCAAACCAGCTCGTCATGCGTCCGATCCAACTTCACGACGAAGAGAACAACACCAAAGTCGCCTAAACCCCGGGTCGACGTCGTCTTTTCGCAGCGTTAAAATATTTTACCCGCGTTTTAACTGCACGTCAGTGAGATTGCAGGTTAAATCCTTGGAGGTGTCGGTTAAACGATCTTGGCAACGACGTTCCACGGGGTGGACACGCGCACGAGCCCGAAGATCGATCGGGCCCGAAATCTTTCTGCCACACTTGGCTACTGCCATGGTCCTCTGTCGCAATCACTGCCACTGCACTCTGCTCTGGCGAGATGAAGTGGCGACGTGCCACTACCGTAGCCGATCCTGGAGTGTGGCGCAACGCAGTACGACAAGAGAATTGTCTATCGGTGCTTGGATTACTACTAGCATACTAATGGAAAAAGTGGAGGCCGAGATCGCCCGAATAAATAAGGCTCAGACCATCGTTATGACGACGGCGAGGGTCAGAATCGCGGCGACGTTGCTGCACGTCCAGTGCGCGCTTGTCGGGCGCGGCTCGGACGTCCATGGCGACGCGGCCGTGAGCGCTTCGTACCCGACGTTGATGGCCGACGCCGAGATCCGCTGGAGCTCCTTGGTCATGCTGAGGCGGCGGGGCGGGAGCTGCTCGAGCTGCGGCGCGGCTGCGAACGGCGACGCGGCCAGCGCAAGGAGGAGCAGCCAGATGAGCCGCATGTTGTTCGATGCGATCGACGGCTTGGGGGCGCGTTCGAAAATGGCCGTCAACGCCAACAGGACCTAAAAATACCGCGTCAAAAAAAATGTCGATTTTAGCGCCGGCGGTTTCGGGCAAATTTAGACTCGTGGATATGGCACGCTTGTGCATCGCCGCGGCGCAGTTTGTCGCAACGAATCTCCACTGCATCGCGACTCTCGTGGTCGCTGTGCGCCCGTCGACGCCACTGTACGCGGTGCATCACTACATGCAACTGCGTCTTGCATCCTGAAGCACCGACCAATCGTAGCACCGAGGCGTTGATGACGCTGGCGTTGATCGGTTTTGGCCTCGAGCTTTCTCTTCTCGCGTCGGGGCGCAGCTGCTTGTACCCGGGCCTGAGCCTCCTCGGTGGGTGCTTACACAGTACACTGTGTTATTCATTAGTATTCTTCTCCCGTAGGCGCGGTCGTGCATGCTATCGGGTCGATCGTTATGTTTTTTTACATCCGAGATGGCTGGGCGGAAGCCGCGCTGCCGCTCATTGTTGTGCCTTGCAGGTGTGTGGAATGCCTAACAACCAGCAATGTGAATGGGATACTACTACGACGCGTTAGTGTGTGTCCAGGTCTCCTCGGCACAGCGATTCTGCTGCGCCATTTTGGACGCGAACTGCGCGACTATGCGCAAAAGGCGCGAGCTGGTACGCAGAGGGGCAGTGCAATGGCTCCTGACGACGCTACTCGCTTCGTAGCGCTCGCGGCATGTCTCCAGCGCCAACTTCGGTTCTATTAGCTGCGCTTTTATCGCTTGCGATGGTGTTTATGTATATTGAGTTTGTGAAATGTGTGCTACTGCCGGTTGGAACTGAAACGTGGCGGCACGACAGCGCTTTGGATCGTACACAACAGTATTTCAGGCGTTTCACACTATTCCGTTACGCCTTTTTGTCCGGGACAAAACCCAGTAATAATAATATTATTATTTCGGAACCGCAGTTTTTGTGGCTTGGACGACCGAGCCCGAGGCAAGCATGGACCACGACGAAGTCGAGGATACGATTGAGCCCGTGTACTTGGACCTGGAGGACCGCGAGCTGTACCTCGTGAAGCTGCCGGTACACTTATGCATCCTTGGCGCAGTGCGCGACCACAGCTTTCACCTTGTAGAAAGAGCTCGGGAGCTCGTGGAAGAACATCACGGGTATCGGACGGTGCATCATGGCCCAACATGGCCTTATGGCATCGGCGTGTAGAGAGCGAAATCCTCTTGGGTACACTGCGTATGAACAAGCGCGATGCGCTCGGCCGGCGCAAGGTAGGCCATCATGCGCGTCGATAGGCTGGCTTATGCACGATACGCGCAGGGCGTCTTGACGGTCAACTCGGACACGCTGAGCGAAGAGATTCCGACCGAGTACCGCACGGAGCTAACACGGTCAGACCTTGGCCTCAAGGTCTTTTCGCAAGACGGCTCGGGGCGCATGGCCATTGAAGGCAAAGTCACCGAGTCGTGCTCGATGATGCCCAAGCCGGGCGAGCGCTACAAGAAGCAGCTTGGCGTACGCTACGTCAAGTCGATGCAGAAAGGGTGCGCGCATCGCGTTATCAACTGCCGGATCTCATGTTGGTGCGGTAGCACCGTCGTACCCCTCGAGAGCACGCCCAAGCAGGTCAAGGGTGGCATCACAATCAAGATCCCCAAGCACAAGGAGAGCGAGGACGAGGTTCGCGCTTCCTCTCGATGTGCACCATCGTCTGTATACCGAATGTAGGAGGAAGAAGAGGGCAAAATCAAGGGCCCGTCCGAGCCGTTCAAGAAGATCAAGATGGACCGCGTACGTTCCGACGACATTTTCCCCTGTATCTCAACCTGCTTGTCATCTAGGAAGCGCTCAAGAACCAGATTTTCCACTATTTCGAACAGCGCGAGTATTGGCCGCTCAAGGAGCTTAACGCCCACTGCCGCCAGCCCGAGGTTCGTCCACTCTCTCTTTCAAAGGGACGGTATCAAATCATGTACCTTGCGTAGGCTTACCTCAAGGAAATCCTCAAAGAGATCTGCGTCTATCACAAGAAGGGCCCCAACAAGAGCTGCTACGAACTCCAGCCGCACTTCAAGGAGCAAAAGCCATAAGTGTGCTCTCTTACAGGCGTTTATCCCAATGTATTCTTCTCCGATAACGACGACGTGTACGGTCCCGTGATGGCATTGAGCGTGTGCTGGCGCTGCGTCACGGGCGCATACCGCGCCGGGCGACCACTCGACACGAAACCAGGCAGCGGCGCAATCACGGTCGACCGCTGCGTGCCATTGAAGCGCGCGATGGACTGGCGCTTCCCAGGCGTGTTGAGCACTCGATGCTATGCACCATGAAGCATGAGCCAAGCAATGACAGATAAAATGCCACGCACCGGCGTCGCGACGAGCTCGCCGTTCGTCCAGCGCTCGAGGACGTCGCCGATGAGCACGAGGAATTGGTCGGTGGCGACGGGCACATTGACGACGGTCCCGCGGCGAGTCGTGAGCTGAAGGCCCCAGTTGGTCTACGCGACCATATTCATAAGCTCGAATGGTATCAAAGGAACCGACTTGATGGAGAAGGGTGAAACACTCGAAGTCCGTGTGCTCGGCGATACCGACGTTCGTCTCGTCCATGGGGGCGTCGTTGGCCGGGTACGTCAAAAGACGCATGCCAGCTTGGGCCTCCGCAGTGTGGAATTGCTACCATTTTCAGAAATGCCTCTTGGGGTAATCAGATCCGAGTAATACGCGAAAGGTGTGGCGGGGGAGGTGGAGCATCTCGGCAAAGCCTTCAAAGAGCCCGTCCGCAACGACGGTGAGCGCATCGTAGAGGGCAGTGACGTGATGTCGAAACGACGGCAGCTCGTCGTTGGGCCACACGTTGGGGCCGAGCCTACCAGTCAAGCGCATCAGCACATGCGTGTGTAAATGCAAAGAAGGACCCGTCGTCGAGGGCAAGGTAGCTTGCCGGTAGCTCTCGCGCAACATCGTAGCCTTCAAGGTGCGCAACGACGCCAGGAAAGTGCTACACATCGAATAGTGTAGCACTCGTGCATCAGCACAGGATCAATGAGAAGGTGCAAACCGAGGGCTCTTGGTGTAGTGGCGTCCAGCCGCGCTCGTTGGGCACCTTCTGGAGGTGGTACTTGGCCTTGACGGATGGCTCGAGTGCATGGAACGCGTCCATGCTCGAGTAGGCCTATGGCCATATTTGTCTGATGTTGAGCCACAGTGGGGCTAGATTGTTCTACATTGCGAAGGAGCTCATCGCACGGGAGCACGGACGTTGGGATCGCAAAGAACCCGTCTTCGTAGCACGCGGTTTGCATGCGGCGCAGCACCGGTTGACGAGCCGCCGTCGACGCTTGCGGGTTCAGCAGCGGGCGAATGTCGATCGTCGGAACGTCGGGGCCTGTCCACGACGAGGCGGCACGAGCAAGGACGGGTGGAGCAGATTTGCCAAGGTAGCGCAGCATCTTGCTTGGTAAATGCGGCAATGCCAGCGCAGTCATGCGCGTCGGCGCGGACGATGGTGACGACGGCCACGGTGCTGATGGCCGCAACGACCTACAATCTGGTCGAGTGGGCCAATCGCGCGTCTCGAACACATGCCCTTGTTTACGGGCACGCCACGAGGCGCTCTAAACGCAGGTCGTTGGTCTTGCCACCACTCAATCGTGCGTGGGGCCGTAGCAAGAGCAGAGCAACAGACGAAACCTTCTCGATGGTCGACAAGCTATTCGACGGCTCAAGATTGCACGCAGATTTATCCTGCCTGCGCTCTATCCGGATACATTGATCCACAAGGCTGGATACTACAAAAGCACAATATCGATGGCTTCACGCGTGTCCTGCGCCACGGACGCCGGAGATACCATCAACCCCAGCCACATTGATGATGCCGCTGTAGCCTGCAATGTCATTTTTTTATTCACAATTGCAGGCGAAGAAGTCTGCGTCCCGTGAACAACATCGTTGGCGCAAGACGTCAACAGCGCCGAGCCAAGTGAATTTGCGA